CGTCTATGCTGTCAATTCCGTTGCGGCATACGTGCTGATCACATTCCACCCACTACATGAAACGACAGTTTCGGAAGTACAGTGTACGTATGTAGCCGGCGACATTATGTTTATCATATTCATAGGCTTTTAACACTGACCAATTATTGTTCATATTCAAACACATTCATTGTCGGGATTATTTCTTGTCATGTTCCAGCTTGGATTGCTTGCTTGTGCAAGGTACTGATTCATGGCGCAAGTCAAAATGGCATCCTTAACTCCTAGATTGCACCACGCCAAAATTAAGTTTGCACACTTTGTATGCATACTATTCATTTTCTTCCGCTCGAGATGAACCAGAATACAACTGATTCACTATTCGTCTTCACGTCGTATTTCTGTAGCGCCCAAAGCTGAGCTGGCAGAATCCAATTCGGAAACAAGCATGATATCTTCTGTTGTGGATGGGGTGCGGACAGTCTTCACCACCAGTATTCCAATTCCAATATCTTTTATCGTGATGATGCTGGCTGCAATGGCCTACTACATAGCTGTGCAGCAAGGATTTGGGACACAGGTACAGGCTATCGAGTAATCGCAAACGGAAATATGCCCCCGAAATGTAGATTTTCGAACTCTATTGTGCATCGCTCATTGTTTGATAGTTCATTGGCGTGAGAATTGATGGAGAACGACCCGAAAAACGAGAAATGTGTACAAACTTGTGATTATTATGCAGAAGTGTGGCGATAGTGAGAGCTGCTTGAAGCGGCGCATCATCGAATAATACAGGATAAATAAACACTATTAATTGCTGTGTTGTTTCTAGCCAAACTAGCGTAGTATTGGATCCATGTCACTTTTGCATTATTCTCTCGTCAGCTCCAGCTTACAGCCGTTCATGAGCTTTCAGCAAAAGGTGTATTACGCATTTTATATATATACTTATATATATATATACTGTCAGCCGCAGTATGCTGTGTAGTATAATACCTTAGGTCGTCTACCTAATGAAATGACCTCTCCATACATGCACACGGCCATTTAAGCAAACAAGGATATATATA